ACAGTGGTGTTTGAAAAAGACACGGAGTACACGGTGAATATGTGCGAAGAATTTGATGGGAGAGACACAAAATGGATAAGTGGAGAAGGCAAAGAAAATGATTTGCGTAAAATTTTAAGAGACTATGAAACGCTGATAAATAAGGAAAACCGAGTGGCCACAAATACGTAGCATAAGTACAGTTAGCATACAGGAAGTGCGTTTTAGTTTGTCTCGAGAAAATTTAGTTGCATAGATTGATAAATTTTATCGATTACAAAGGCGGGGATTTGTTGTATTTTTGAATGTCCATTAGCAATAAAAAACCGATATACAAATTTTATTACTTAAATAAAAATTAAGATTATTGATATTTCATAAAGACACGGGCATATAAAGTTTCAAACATCCTGTATAAGACAAAATATGTATTTTAAGTTGTTCAAAGAATTGTTCATTAGGCCTCAGAGACAAGACTTTCAAATATTATCGATAAGAAATTTAAATAAGTCGGTTATTGTGAAATGGATTTACCCGTAATAAAAGTGTATATAGAAAGTGTTTAAACAATAGACCGGGATGTGCGGTGGTTTTTTCCCCCGAAAGATTATATCGTAAAAGTTTATTAACAAAAGACATTGAATTGAGAAACAGGTATCGTTTGTAGCTATTAGTAAGAAATATTTGTAAAGCAGATAGATTTAGCTAGAATAATTAAAGAATGTTGTTTTCTGGAATTACCCGAATGACGTTTTATAGAGAGAGTTGGTTGGTAACGATATCCGTGACAGAGGTAGAAGATTTTTATTGGTCAATTTTTGAATAGAAGGAGGAGTGGTTTTGGCTATGAGATAGGAGAGAGGAAAGGAGTTAGTCAGTTTTCGTCGCCCAAGAAGGAAGGAGCTTTGTGGTTTGTGTTTGTTTGAAGTCCCGAAGACGTAATTTACCGGGTGTGTTTATTTGCTGTGTAAAAGCTGATCAGTGTGAGGAACGGGGTACAGAGAGATAGAAAAACCAAAGGGTAATAAGAATATTAATATCAGACGAAGCCGGAAACAATTGAAGTTATAAACAGACGCGGAGATTGGTTCAAAAGGAGGCTGCATAGAATTACACGAGTTGTTGGGTTGCAGATACAAGGACAGATAGGAGAAAGGTGTACGTCTTCTGGACCAAAATAGGAGCAGAAGCAGAGAAAGGTTTTTTTTTTATGGCGTGGCCATAGAATTGCAACGGCAGATAACGAAAGGTCAGTCAATTTTCATTAGAGCAGGAGTGTGGTTTTCATTTATTAATTAAATAAATTGAATAAATAATAGAGACAGTTAATTTTTGCGATCATTTAAAGAAAAAAATTATAAAGAGAGCTTAGTTATAACACATATTAAAAATCAATGTAAAATAACATTTGGGTCCATGATAGAAAACAACTTCTCATATATTTAAAGTATTGTATTGCAAATATTACAGGATTGATTGTTATATAAAATTTCAATAAAATAAAGGACATCTCACATATACTTCAGTTGAAATTCTGTGTATTTTATTCAGGTCATATTACCTATCCCAATTAGGAAGCCAATTGGAAAATATTTTGAATCCACGATCAAAGGTAAATAGTACAAGTTAAATAGCCTGAGATTGTAATTAATTAATGCTGATTTATTGTGATTAATTGGAGATTAGATCATTTAATAAATATAGACAGGATCTTTTCTAAATAAGCAATAGAATACAATTTAAATAGCTTAACAATATATATATATATATATATATATATATATATATATATATATATATATATATATATATATATACATCGGTTTAGAACGTCTATCGACGTTGTCCGATACCTAAACACCATCTCTTCCTATCTTCGCAGTTGTTTGTTGTTAAATTTCTTTCGCTCATGGACCTGTTTACGCCGTGTTGCCAATCTAATCTGGGTCTTCCTCTTTTCCGTCGACCTATCGGTTGCCATTCTAATACTTTTTTGGGGAGTCTTGTTGCTGGCATCCGTTGAACATGCCCATACCACCTTAATTGTTTCTTCTCTATATCTTGAGTTATATTTCCTTCTATTCCCATATGTTGTTTTATTACATCATTTCTGATTCGGTCTCGTCTGGAAATACCTAAAGATCTTCTCATTGCAGCCATCTCTACTGTTTATATTCGCTTTTTGTTCTTTTCACTAATTCTCCATGTTTCAGCGCCATAAAGAAGAGTAGTTTTAACCATGGTCTCATATATATTAAATTTTCTTCCTCTCGTTATATCTTCACTCCACAGTACACCATTGAGACATCGTAAGACTTTCTTTGCTTGTGTGATTCGTTTTTCTATTTGCCGTGTATCAGTTCCTGTATTGTAAAAAAGGCAACACCCTTGTAGTCATCACAGTTAAAATTTTTTGGTTTAAAGTTTAAAGTTTTTGGACAATCTGTATATATATATATATACATATATATATATATATATATAATATATATATATATATATATATATATATAATAATTCTGTTTAATTTCATATTATTTAACTAAATATTGAAAACTGTGCGTCAAAGAAAACAAGAAGAAGGAAGAAACCCAAGAATTTATTGTGTAAAGAAGCAAACCTAAAGGATATGCTTCTTTCTAAGGGTGGAGGAGTTACGTCCCTGGATTATCAAATCTGTGACGACATCGAGAAAGACTGTATATACCAGTTTTTAATTAGTTTAAGAGCTTTTTGTTTTGTAAATTTTTAAAAATCCGTTGTTTCTAGTGATTTGTTTTTAATTGAAATGGCTGTTTGATTCTCTTTGTAACAGGATTTTTTAGTTTCACTACAAACATCGGTAATAGATTTTGCAATGATACTTTTTTCGATATCGTTGGCAGTATTGTTTAATGCTACTTCACATTTTACACCTAAATATTCTACAGTTTTCTGATTATTATGTTGATGCAAGTTGTGTTTAAATTCTTTCTGTAGAAGTTGTATCTCGCTATTACTGATTTTAGTAACTGTTACATTTATAAATCTATTGAAAAAATTATGCCTCGAACAACTTTTTGTATAATGAACATTATGATTTTTACTTTTGCAAATTAGATTATTTAGTTTTTTACACTATGTATTGAATTTTTTATCTATTATATTATCTACTTTAATTCTCAAGTTAGAATCTAGGATGTAAAATTATATTATTTAATTTATAATTTAATTCTGAATGACATACCTTAAGATAAACAGTTATGCTATCCCTTTTTTGTTTTGGTTTCTTCCATCATATTTCAGCCATCTGGTATTGCCGTGATGTATCCGTTTTTGAATCGCTGACCTGAGGTGCTTTGTTCTTAATTGAAAATATTTCGGAAATACTTTATTATGCAGACACTTGTTTAAAACCCAGATGTTTTGTATCGCAGTCGCAAGTCTAAGTTTCTAAAGTAATCTTGAAAATATAGTATTCCTTTTCTGAGTAATAATTTGTAGTTTAAAATATAGAAGTGTTTGTGTTATTTCGTTGAAGATTTCGTAAAGTTTTTCAAAATAATGAACAGAAAAAAAATGGGTGATCTGGAATTATTTTAAAGCCGAAAACAAAGAGAAAGGGAAGTGTAATTTATGCAGTCAAATAATAACTTATAAATCACTCACTAAATATATATAGGTACCTGTATAATATATGTGTGACTTAATATTGTAAATCATTATTATCAAATAGGTTATAAATATTCATAAATATAATGAGTATAAGAGATATATTATAAGAGTAATTTTAGTTCGGCTAATTAAGTAAGTCCACAGTCAAAAAAACCAACACACACACACACACACACACACACACACACACACACACACACACACACACACACACACACACACAAGTTCCACTAATTTAAAAAAACATTTGCAAAGGAAACATCCGTTTGTTAACATAGAATAAGATTCCTCATCTTCACAAAATAAAATGACAAATGCAAATAAGAGACAATTACCAGAAACAAAAAACACAAACAGACAAAATTAGATTATGCTCCAAGACCCGTCGGACGTGCTGTCCCAAATAAAGTCGACAGATGCTTGATTATGTTAATAACTAAAGACTTTCATCCTTTTAGTATTGTAAAGGACAAATGTTTCCGAATTTTCGTAAGTGTTTTAAATCTTGCATATCAAATACCTAGTAGGAAAACCATTACAAATAATTTATTATCAACAATATACGAGGAAACTTTTACTGCAGTAAAGTCTATTATAGTGAGAAATGTAAAATCTGTCACCATAACCACAGATAGTTGGACTTCCGTTAATACAGAGAGCTTTATGGCGGTAACAATACACTTTATACATAATTTTGAAATAAAATCTGTATTGTTAGATTGCTCTACCTTTTCACAAGCACATACAAGAGTAAATTTAGCAACGGAGTTAAAAAAGTCATTACTGAATGGATACTCGAAAATAAAATATTATTAGCTGTTACAGATAATGCAGCTAATATTACCAAAACTGTCAAAGCTATCTTGCATTGGAAACATTTAGGATGTTTAGCCTATACCATTAACCTAATTGCCAAAGATTATATTACTATTATCGGGCCTGTCATAGCAAAAACTGGGAACTTAGTGGCGCACTTTAAACGCAGTACTTCAGCTACAGCAAAATTATTAGATGTACAGAAACAATCAGGCAAAATACCAAAAAAGTTGCTCCAAGATGTTTCAACGAGATGGAACTCTACATATTTTATGCTAGAAAGGATTCTTGATTTAGACGAAGCCGTAAGAACAACCATGGCGCTGCTAGATAAAGATAATTTAGCAATTATTGTCGTAGAAGAATGACAGCTCTTAAAACATGTCAAAAAAGTTCTAGAACCGTTGGAAACAATTACAAAAATTTTGAGTAGCGATACTTATGTATATTATTCTATCTTTGTGGTCATTCTTACAAATGGACTAGTACACATGTTAACACAATTGAAGAAAGAAGAACTATGTACCTTACCTCTTACTATGGTTTTTACAATGCTATATAGCATAAAAGAACGGTTTGAAGACTTAGAGACCAGTAAGACATTAGCAGTATCAACTTTTCTAATTCCTAGATTTAAACATGTGGGACTTTCAACTGAAGCTGTGGCAAATCCTACAAAAAAGTTAATTATAAATATGGTGGCTCATAAAATGATTGAAGAAAAACCATATCAAGAAAATGAGATTGATCCCAGCGTTCCCTCTACTAGCAACCAAGTTACTATAGAAAAGAAAATATATATTTGTAGCCACTCTGAAGATAAAGCAGCTACATTTCATCCCAGTGGTACATCCCCTTCGCTTGCTGTAGTTGAGGTCCAGAGATATTTAGAGGATGAACTTTTAGCATGAGACAGTGATCCGTTTAAATGGTGGCAGACGCATGCCTATAACTATCCCTATTTGACAAAAGTTTTAATTGAAAAATTCGGCACAGTTGCCACCTCAGTACCGTGTAAGCGCATATTTTCAAGAACTGGTTAGATAACAACGGACCGAATATCAAGATTAAGTTCAGAAAATGTGAAACAAATAGTATTTTTAAACGTTAATTCAAAGTAAATAATTTTTTAAAGTGTATTGAAAAATGTTTTGTTTCTTAAATAATGTCTTTTTTGTTTTTAAAGAATGTTTTTTGGTTTTTGTTTAATTAATAATACATTTTAAAATATAAATATCTTTCATTTAAATTACAGTATGATGCAAATGTATGAAATAAATTCATTATTTCAAAAACAGACGACTTTTAAAAAAAATCTTAAAACACCTCAATTTTAATTTTTGAATGACCATTAACTAACATATATGTGTTGGATATTACGTCATCAGTGTCGGCGTAATGACGTAATCGACAATTTTTTTAAGTGCAAACCGAGGCCACGCAACAGCTCATTTGAAAGATCTATTTATCGCCTTTGCAACGATATAATCGTTTGAATATTTATTTCTACAGGGTTAACCAAAACTGTTGATTTATTACTACAATTAAATTACAATAAATGTTAACTTAAATACAATTAAATTATAAGAAATGTTTAAATTGACGACCTTCAGCAATAATACAATGTGAAAGATGATCAATAAGTTCTTTCCTAACGTTTTCGATGACTTCAGGTGTTATTTGTCCCATTTCCGTTCTGATCCGCTCCTTCAACTCTCTGCTTTTGATACACTCTGCTTTTAAAATATCCCCACGAAAAAGTTTAACGGAGTCAAACCTGGAGACTTTGATGGTCATTGGGTGGGCCCCCTTCTATCTGTCCACATACCTGGGAAAACGTTATTAAGGTAATTTCGTACCTCAACGCCGCAGTGTGGGGGAGCCTCATCATGTTAGTACCACAATTTATTTCTATTTTGAAATAACTGATTCAGCTGTGGCAACAGATAATCTTAGTTAAGTTTTCCTCAAAAAAAAATATGGTCCCACAATTTGATTGTTGAAAATGCCGGTCCAAACATTCACCTCCTCGGAATATTGTGTCCTATACTCTTCCATCCAATATGGATTTTCACTTGCCCAATATCGATATGTCTGACGATTTATGTGTCCGTTCAGTCAAAAGACGCTTCATCAGAAAATAATACCTTTTGTATGAAACCCCGATCTCTTGTTACATTTTTCCATAACGGTTTCGCAAACTTCGATTCTTCTATCAAAGTCATTTTCTAATAGCTCCTGGACCAGATGTGCTTTTTATGGCTGCCACTTCTCCTTTTTTAGCACTCTTACAACAGTTGATTGGTGGACATTATTATATATTGCGACCTGCCTAGAACTGGTATGGGGATTTTCTTGAAACGCCAGTACAACGTCCAGTTTCTTGGCTTCGGATATTGATTTTCTACCACCTCTCTGAAGATCCTTAACATGGCCCGTTTATCTAAATTTTGTTTTAATTTTAATTACTGTTGATTGAGTAGTTGGTTCGCGATTGAGGTATTTAGCATTAAATAATTACGAACTTCTGCTTGAGTCCTCACGCCATCTCGATAACCAATCATGATTAAAATCTCGATTCGTTCTGTTTTTGTTTTTCATTTTTGTAAATGCTATTTTGTAATGTCGGCAAAAAACTCTAAGAGTAAAAATTTGAAGTCTATTATTTGACAGATCATAGATCAAAACATTATCGATTTTGATAATATTAAAATTTTATGTAGTGAAAGTAATAAATTTAAAAGAACTTTTTTGGAAATGGTTTGTATTAGCAAAAGTGACAATAATTTAAACAAAAGGTCAGAAATTCAAAATCTAAGCAAAATTTATAATTATATTATTTCTATGTAAATTATATATGCAGTCAGTAAAATATCACATTTTGAATTTCCCATGTATTTGTTACATTTTTTCGGGCATCTATCAATGGTGAATAAATCTTCTTCTTTTTTGTTACTAAACAAAGAAGAATTTTTTAAACAAAATTTTATTTTTGACAATATGTCAAAAATAAAAATTTTTAAGTTAGTATTTATGACATTTAGGCTGGTTTGTAGATATTCAATTTTTGTTTACAAATTCAATTGTTTTTGTTAAGAAACTTCATCAAAATTTTTCAGAGAAACATTTATTCGAATAGGACATTTGATCAGAGAATAGGACATTTGATAGAGAATCAGTGTTTGATAATGCCAAAGCAGTTATTCGCGTTAAAGAATCTTTGTCAACCGAGATGCGCATATTGGAGAGATTCCATATGGAAGAGATTTGATTCAAAAATTTCGAAGAGCCAGTCAACTTTGGCGACTTCAATAATTGAAGAAAAGCAGCAACAGAGGAACAGAATATTAAAAAAAAAGAAGATCCTTTGAAATGGTGGAAAACAAGGGAAGTAGTTTACTCTACTTTGGCAAAACTAGCCAAAAAATATTTATGTACAACTGCTACGTCTGTGCCTAGTGAGCGATTTTTTTCCAAAGCGGGTCAGGTAGTGTCAGACCGTAGGAATAGACTTAAACCAAAAAATGTGGAGAAATTAGTATTTTTAAACGGAAATTCAAATTTACTGTAAATAAATTATTATATTTTTTAAGTTAAATTTTTTGTTTAAATTTTTCAGGAATTCTGATTTTTTCCTGTTTTTCTTTTATTTAGATTTTTTAATTGCTATAATTATTTACTAGGTACCTACCTTTTTATTATTTTCTATACACTTAACTAAAGTAAATAACAAATAGAATAATGTATCTGTATTATAAATAATTTATATACTCAATATATTAATAATCTACTATTGTGTACATAATTAATAGAATAATGAGAATTATAAATAATTTATAAAGTACCTATATAAAACAATAAAATGTTTTACTTATATTATTATATTATTTTATCATATTACATTTTATTAATTATTCTATTTATGTACTTAATAAATTATTTATATTCATACTCAAGATATTAATAATCTACTATTGTGTACATATTTTAATAGAATAATGAGTGTTATAAATAATTTATAAAATACCTATATAAAACAATAAAATGTTTTACTAGATACATTTTTATTTTTATTAACAACGAATAATGTTTTAGTATATTTTGTTTACTTTTATTTACATTTTTATTATATTTTATTTTCTTTCACTTATTTTTATTTACATTACTAATAAATGATTCATAAATATTTCATTTTTATGTACCTACTAGAATAGTACATACTGTATATTATACCTTACCCTTAAATTCCAAATTATCACCTTGTCTAAAATACCGACAAAAAATTTAAGACATCTCCATCTCACAGGCAATAAAGATAAAAATAATGGTAGGTAAGTATTCAAGATTAAAGTGTTCATAGTCAATCAGTACTCTTGAATCTCGCATACCGCCTCGACACCGAATAGTAATCGTTTAGTCTCCCATACAGTAAAAGTAATCATAGTATCCGATACAAAGTATCTGATACTTATACAGAAAGTACTTGTAATTACTCGATACTTGAAAAAGTAATCATTGCACAACATTAGTGATAATATTATTAAGATATATATAATATATATATATATATATATATATATATATATATATAATGTTCGGAAAGATTAGTTAGATCGATTAGTACAGCGGGTGTTGACACAATGTGATTTCTGCCCAGTGCTCTGAATGTCAAAGTGAAGAAATTAAAGCAAGCGCGAGTAAACGGCGAGAATAACTATGATTTTCTTAATGTCTCACACTTCCTTGTGTGACTTACACTAGGCATGACGTGTTTCTCCCACGTTGAGGGGAAAACGCTTTATTTCATTACGGGTAACGCGGAAAAACGTCTAGTTCAAATTATTGTCACAAGCGCAGAACAAAATACCAATTGCTCATATACTTTACTAAAATACATAATAGGCATAACACCCAACTGACAAGACTTTTTAAAGATTTCACCAATTTAAAAATAGCCTTTAAAACTTCATTAACTGCAAGATCTATATTTTCTAAGGTTAAAGATAAAAGTGACATCAAAGATTGTTCCAACGTAGTTTACCAGATCCCTTGCAATAACTGTAATTTGGTATATGTGGGACAAACCAACGCAACCTAGGTAATCGCTTAATCAGTCATCGTAGCGACAGCAGACTATATCCAGAAACATCTGCCCTTGCAGAACATGTTAATAAAGAATATCATATAATAAATTATGAATCAGTCAAAATTTTAGCTACTGAATCCAATTAAGACTTTTCTTAGAAAAAAAAAGACTTTTCTTAGAAATGGCATTCATTGCTCAAAATTCAAACGCAATGAACAAAAGGAGTGACATTAATCAGTTAAACACTATTTACTCCTACCTATTATATTTGGATACACATTCACAATTCAATGATGTTTCAACAACTGATTCATTGTAAAGTTTCCAGGTTTCGTTATTTTTCATAGTTTTTATTTGTTTTTCAACTTAAACACAAATTTTGTTCAATTTTGATGTGTAATAGGAGTAGTACTACATAAGACAAAGAAATAAGAAGAAGTACTGTCATTTGCCATGTCCAGGAATGACAGTTACTCTTAACTTAACATTCTACAGTTGGCCGGCACATGTGGCCATTTTTAACTTTGTAATTGTCTTTTTCTTAGGTGTTAAAGTAGAATAATTTGTCAAGTTTGGTCTTTTACACCAGGCAATTTTTACATATTTTAATTATTGACTCAATCAATGAGTGGTGCGTGAATTTGTCACCTGTAAGTAGAACATGCACTAAAGACAAACCTCAATAACGTAAGTGTTTTTTTCTTTTTTCCCTTTTACAACCTTTTCACTTAATAGATTTCGAGGATGCTTTACTAACAGCAGCACTTTATTCTCAGTTTTTCCTGATGATGAAAATAAACATTTTCGAAAGCTTGAAACTTAGTT